TTACGAGTCTGAGACCAGCCTGAGCTACAAAGTGAGATCAAGACCAGCCTGAACAGTGTAACGAGATCCTGTCTCAAAAAGGCAAAAAGGAAATCTATCGCTCCTAAATAACCACGGAGCGGGGCTTTCTCAGGTGGAGGGGGCTCCCTGCATGTTACGTAGGCTCTCCCGGATCCTGAAGGACAGTCTGCTCCAGTCAGTAACTACTGGTATTTTGTTTTGTCTTGAGAATGTCGTGATCCCACGGAATGCTTCAGACAATTCCGATAAAAGGTGAAAAGTTCACATGATTTCCTTTTCTCCAAGACTGAACAAATGGCAGGAGTGCTGCTGTCCGTGCCCGATGCATACATTTTGGCCTTATTTGTGGCAGCCTAGCTGTACCCTTAGCACATCCCTGATTTTTTTCCCACAGTGACATCTCCAGAAGGGTTTCTCCTGGCCTGACTCTCCAGCTGCCTCCAGATGTGGTCTGCATCTTGGGAAGTCAGGCACACAGCCAGAAATGACTGTCACTGACTCTCCCTAGAGCTGCACACTTAAATATGGAATCAGTGATTGCCCGAAGGCCTAGCTAAGGAGTTCTTCCTGTGTACGCGAATACCATTGCTCTTTATTTGGGGGGCTGGGGAGATTACGCTTTCTTGGTAGAGGACATGCTGTTACTCCTTTTTCGCCTGTAATTTGAATCTAGTTTCCTTAGTTCTTCTCCCTGCTGAGGTGGAAATTAGTGGTGTTGAAGAGGTCCAGAAATCCAGATTCAGTTTACCCAGCTGGCACAGGTGAGCTCTCTGTGGACTTTCCTTGGAGGATTTCTAACTCCTGTCCCGTCACATCAGTGATTTCGGTTTTACCACAACTTCCTTCTGAGCCCCGCCCTGCCTTGAAGCAGTTTGAAGTGGCACCAGACCATGGGACACTCTGGGGACAGCCTGCCCTGCTAATCCCAGCACGAGTACCAGAATAGAAAATTAATCCCAGTGAGGCTGCTTCCCCTGCTTGCTACAGATCTGTTCCTGGCGAGAATTGTGTAAAAGTTCTCAATCCCTGTTTTACTCTGTCTTTGCCAGGTTAACATTTCTCTCCTCCAGCAAAAGAGCTGCATTGCAGGGACAGCCCAGGGCAGGGCCTCTGTGTCCAGCCATCCCGCCTCAGTGGCAAAGGCGAATACAGACAGCAGCGCAGATTGTTTACAATCATGTACATACAACTTCGCCTTATTAAAAACCTGTGTGCATGCATCCACGCACGGAGGGGGACAGAGGCTGATAGCGCATCATTTGTGTGTTTTAGCTTCTCGTCTGCATTTTTGTGTTTCCTGTAACGTGCAGAGCTTTTGTAGTGAGAAGCATCATTTTCTCTCCAAGAGGAGAAGTAAAGCCTGGGTGTGTGACTCCATGGTAGAGTTCTTGCCTGGTGTGCACAGGCCTTGGGATTTGAGCCCCGTCCTCGTCCCCTTCACCCCCAGAAGAGGGGGGCGGAAAGAATAGTGCTAAAATGCTTCAAAGCCCGGCAGCACGAGAAAATGACTCATAACTTGTTTGCTGAACAGCTTGTTGTTGAGTTTTTATCATGCATCGGCTCTCACTGGCTGTCCCTTCTGGAATGTTCTCTTGATGTTTGGGGCTAACTAGGGCTCATGCTGATGGAGTGGTAGTGAATAATCTGGTCTTCCATGTCTTGGGCTTCTGTCTTCTGCCTTGACCTAACGATAACAGTGGAAAGGCCTTCTCCATGTGCAGCTGGAAGCTGCTAGGCAGGGGCTGCTTTCTCCAGGTAAATTGCTGCGTCCACCCAAATGCTTTCTCTGGCCACCCTGAGAAGAGCAGCCAGAGGTGCCTCATTTCTGGCACCTTTTGCTGTCTTCCTCCTTCCTGGACCCCATTCCGGCCTTGTAAGAGCTGCCTCTTTGTCCTTTCTGGGACCAGGGTGCTGGTGTGATCAGGCCAGAGCTGACCGTGGAAGGTCTAGAGCAGCAGAGACAAATTGGAGTCCTAAGAGGCATCTGCCGGGCAGCCTCCAAGGCTTGTACCTGGCACCGAGGGTGCGCAGCTTCCTGTCTCCTCCTCCTGCATCGGCAGCGGTAACGCAGGCTGGCACAGAGTGGGCACTCAGGCCTGCTTACCAGGCATGCCGGGCCCTTCTCCCACTCTTGGTTCGAGTGCTCATCTGCCATGTGAGCTCTCTGCCAGAGCACCTGTGTCCCAACAGGCCTGTCCACTCACAGCCCCTTTCCCCAAAGCCTACAAACACAGCAGTTGGGACACAGGGCAAGTGGCTCTGGAAGATAGAACCTATCGCCAGCCTGCGCTGTTTTATTTTGGTTTTTCCATTTGCCGTTGCCTAAGACCCAAGGCATCCGGCACGACTCAGCTGCGTGGTGACACAGGCTGGCCTGCCGCCAGGTGCCTCGCCAGGTGGTTGGGCTGCGAGGCGCAGCATGCGATGGGCCGATAATGCCCCGTGGTGCTGTAAACAGGACACTCCACCCCTCCCGCGGCCGCCAGCCGGTGCCCTGTGCCTGCTGCGTGGTCAGCTCTGAAACGGCTGATTACGGGCTTTTCCTCTCTTCCCTAAATCTGAGAGGGGCGCTTTCTAGAAATGAAACCATTTCATCTTCCAACCACAGGCAGCCGTTGTGACTCTCAGTGCCTGCCATCCTTTCGCCATAGTCGCTAATCGCTCGCGTGCAGGCCGGACCCCCCACCCAGCTCTTCCGGGGGGGCCCTTGTGGGCCAAACCCAGTTCCACTATCTCTGCTACTCTCATCGGGAGATTTCTGTGGGCACCTTCCCAGCAGAGGCTGGTGTCACCCGATGGCAGAACTTGTGTGCTGATCTGCAGCTGCGGATGCAAAAGTCTCCAAGCAGCTTTGTGTCCGCCTGCGTCATTTATGCCACAAGTGGCAACCATGACCAGTGAGACTGTCACTGATAGAAGGCATTGACACCAAGGCATACAGCTTTCCCAGGGACCAAAAGCGCCCAGGCCCGGGGATGATGGTGGCTGGAACTTACGGTACTCGTCTCTCCTCACTCCCGCACCCCACCTTCAGTCCTGGAGGACCCAAGTGCGACCACATCTCTTTCTCGCTTCTTTGCAGCTTCCCTAAGAGTTCACAGAGGCTGGGTTGTGCTATTTGCAGAGGGAGTGTGGACCAGGGAGGCTGGTGGTAGTGACAGGACCATGACCAGACTGGTGCCATCCACCTCTTGGCCCACTCCATATTAAGAAACCTCTCAGCTGGTGTCTGGTTTTGCTTTGGTTTGTATTTGATTTGGTGCGACTGTGACCCCTTTACTGTTTTGGTACAAAGTTAGTGGGTGCTTACTGAACCGTTTGGGGGAGATTCAGGAGATAAACAGTAGATTTTTAGATTTTTATTCCTATCAAAACCTCTGGCCAAGTGTGGTGGCGCACGCCTGTATTCTCAGCAGAGGCAGGCAGCGTCACTGAGTTCAAGGCCAGCGTGGACTACACAGTGAGTTTAAAGCAGCTGGAACCACAAAAGACCCTGTCTTGTGGGAGGGCCTGGGACGAGGGAAGGATCTGTGGGTTTGGGAGGAGCACTGGAGCCTTCTGAGGGCGCTGAGGCAGGAGAACATCCTGTCCGGCACCTGCACCAGGACGCGTGTCCGCTGGGGGAATAAAGCCAAGACCTAATCCGCTCCCTGCTGCAAGAAAAGAAACAGGCGCATCCTCCTCCTGCGGGACTTGGATGTAGCAGCATTCTTACAGGTCTGAAAGTTGGAATGAAGTGCGGGAGGTAAAGTTGGGGATAAACTGGGGAGTCCATCACAAACTTACTGGATGGCAAGGTTGCAGGGGAGGCGAGGGACAGCCTGGGCCTGCCAGAACCTCAGGGAGGAAGAGCAGGCAGCTGTGGGGGCTTTGCTCAAGGTGAGTGGCTGGGATGGGTGCGTCGAGCCGACTTCCGCTGAGAAGTGGAATCAGTGCGGGCCTCCCCTTCTAGAAACGATTTTCCAATTTTGTGGGTGTTAGTGGGTGCCTGCCAAGTGCCAGCTCTATGATGTAGGCACTGTGGGGACACAAAGATAGGCCAGAGCCAAGCCCGGGCCTCGGGCTGTTTATTATCTGGGCGTCCGAATACCACCCCCCACCCCCCACCCCCGGGTGGGTAATTACTAGAAAAGGACAAAGTGTACGGAAGAAACTCAGGGCTTCCTGGGCAAGCCTCACAGGGCATTCCCAGGGGCAGAGGAGAAATGGCGCGCAGCCTGGTGTGCTTCGTGTGGGCTCGGGCGGGGGCCGGGGAGGGGTGTAAGGCAGGTGTGAGTGGAGTCGGAACGCGGGCCCTCTGCCTCCCGTCTCGATACAGAAATGTCAAGATCATTGAAAATTACGTGGTTTGGGCCAGTATGTATGGATTTAGAAAGATGTTGACGGTACAATGAAAGAACATGCACAGTGATATATACAGTATGATCCCATTTTTATTTTTATTTATTTTTGGCAGGACTGGGGACCAAACTCAGGCCCTTGCACTTGCCAGGCAAGTGCTTATTCTACTGAGCCATCTCCCCGGCCCCCCATTTTTATTTTAAAGCGCACTTATATACTCAAGGTAAGGAGCCGGCGGTATAGCTCAGCAGGCTAAGCTCTTGCTTAGGTAAGCGCAGGGGCCAGGGTTTGATCCCTGGCACTGCATGCTGCGCCGGCCCCACCCCCGGGTGTGCGTGGTGGTGCGCGCCTGTAATCCCAGCACTAGAAATTGTTTAAAAAAAAAAAAATATATATATATATATATATATATATTCAAGGTAAGGACTATAAGAATTTATATCTCATGAGGCTGGGGAGCTAGCTCCGTGGCATACATACCGTCATGGCAAGCACAAGATCCTGAGTTTGAGTACCATAAATACTCAAGGGGATTGTCTAAAGTGCTTGGTGATGAATCTTTTGAGAAATGAAAGATCGTCATCTTTTTAATTTTTATATTTATTTATTTATTTATTTATTTATTTTTGTGGTACCAGGGATTGAACTCAGGACCCTGCACTTGCCAGGTAAGAGCTTATACTACTGAGCTATCTCCTCAGTCCTCAAGTACCATAAATAAAAATAAAAAATATATAATTGTTGTTTTGGTACTAAGGGTTAGACCTAGGGCCTTTGAACTGAGCTATGTTCCAAGCTCATTTTAAAATATTTTTATTTGGAGGCTGGGTCACTGTGTTGGCCAGCCTAGGCATGAATTTACAATCTTACTGCTTCAGCCTCCCCGAGTGATAGGTTTGTATCACACCTGGTTTATAAGTCACGGTTAAGTTCTTTTTTTTTGCCAGCCCGGGATTGAACTCAGTCCCTTGCGCTTGCCAGGGAAGCGCTTATTCCACTGAGCCATCTCCCCGACCCCCTGTTAAGTTCTTTTAAGTGGGCATGTGTTATATGATGACTGAGGGAAATGACTGGAAATATGCCAGGGATTTGATAAAACGTGAAAGTAAAGAGTTGGTGATTGAAAGCTGGGCATAGTGGCACATGCCTGTAATCCCAGCACTTGGGAGGCTGAGGCAGGAGGATTGCTGTGAGTTCAAGGCCAGCTGGGGCTACATGGTGAGACCCTCTCTCAAAAAAAAAAAAAAAAAAAAAACACTAAACCAAAAAAAAAAAACCCAAAAAGCTAAAGTAAAAGAAAAAGTTGGCTACTCAGTAACATTGATATTGTCTGGATGGGTGTGGGGCACCTCAATATCTAATATTATGAGAATGGCTAAGCAATTACTGAAGAGAATCAGTCTTGAAGATAGTAAATATGTAGGCTACTGATACTTGGAAATAATAGGTTATAACGTGGGCAGAGGGCCGGCCAGATAGCTCAGCAGACTAAAGCGCCTGCTTAGGCAAGCACAGGGGGGGTCGGGTCCCCGGCACTACAGGCTGTACTGGCCCTGCCCCCATGGTGGCTGAGACTGGGCTGGGCGTGGTGGTGTGGGCCTGTAATCTCAGTGTTTGGGAGGCTGAAAGCAGAAGGCTGTGCAGCCATTACCGTTGTCCATTTCCAGAGCGGTGCGGGTTGTTGCTTCGTTTTGAGACCAGGTCTGTCTAAGTTGCCTCCAACTTGGTGATCTTCTTGCCTCAGCCTCTCAAGTGGACTGTCGTGCCCAGCCAAAACTGTTTTGCTTTCTTTGCTACTGAAGATCCAACCCAGGGCCTTCACAATGAGCTACATCCCCAGCAGCCTCTCCACCCCCTTTTTTTTTTCTTTTTGAGATGGGTCTTGTTAAGTTTTTTTTTTAATATATATCTTTTAATCTTTATTTGTTTATTTGTTACAGGGTCTCACTACACAGCTCAGACTCATAGTGATCCTCCTGTCTCAGCCTCTCCAGTGCCGGGATCACAGATGTGCACCACCAGGCCTGGTTTTGGTGGCCAGCTCAGTCGGCCTGGTATAGCATGTGGTACCGGGGATCGAACTCAGTCCCTTGCAAGGCACTTAAGACTGCCGAGCTATCTCCCCAGCCCTGGTCTTGTTAAGTTTTTAAGTTGGCCAGGTTAGGTTCAAACTTCTGATTCTCCTACCTCAGCGTCCCAGAGCAATGAAACTATGGGCATGTACCACCATGCCTGGCTTCTTTTTTATTTATTTATTTTTGGAGAATGGTCTCACTAAGTTACCTAACTGGTGTGGAACTTGCAGTCCTGCCTCAGCCTCCCAAGTGGCTGGAATTACAGGCTTGTGCCACCACATTGGGCTGCAACTTTTTTTTTTTTTTTTTTTAATCATCTCAAACAGAAACCTATGCTATTAAAGAGTAACCCCTACTCCCTCTCCTCCTGAGTTCCTGGTTATCTGTGTTCTGTCCCCAGCATGCATGTACCCACTCCAGGTGCCTCCTCCCAGCGAACTCATATAACGTTTGTCCTTCACGCCTGTCTTGTTTCGCTTGGTGTCCTCTGTGTATAGGTTGTCTACACTTTTTGGCGATTGGGATTGATGCTGGTGTGTCCTGGGTAGACAAATGTCTTTTCGAGTTCCTGTTTTCAGCCTTTTTTTTTTTTTTTTTTTTTTTTTTGAGACAGGGTTTTGCTATGCGGTTCAGGCTGGCCTTGAGCTCACTTCATAGTCCAGGCTGGTTTCAAACTCGCAACAATCCTCCTGCCTCAGCCTCCCGAGTGCTGCGATTACAGTGAGCCACTATAACCACTCTTTTAGTACCCCCCCTTTTCTGTATTTAGAACAGGGTCTACAGGGTCTGCAGAGTCTCACTATGTAGATTGTACCTGGTAGATGGGACTCAGGTCCGATAGTGATTCTCCTGTGTTCAGCCTCCCAAGTGGTGGGATTACAGGCCCTCGACATCACACCCAGTCTCAGTTGCCAACTCAGAATGCCCCAGGGGCGGGGCCAGCACGGCACGCGGGGAATTGAACCCTGGTCCCTACACCTGCCTAAGCAGGCACTTCAGTCCACTGAGCTATCAGGCCAGCCCAGTACCTTTTTAATATAAAGCTCTTCAGGTCTGTTTCTACCTGTTTGGTGAGCTTAATACACACGTAAATCATCAAGGGATTATTCTCTGTGTGGAGCATTGTCTCCTGTGTAAAGGGTGAGCTTATATAGGACTAAGATAGTGGAGTCTTCTGAACTTGACCATGGAGAATGGGGCTCGCCCATACCGCTGAAACTTCCAGGTAGCTCCAGAGCCCTTATCTATAGCTTCAACTTTTACTTTCTCCCAGAAATCTGTACCCAAGGTAGAGTAAAGTAAAAGGATTTTTAACTGTATTATTTTTGTCCTGTTCGGACAAAAGTCAGAGACAGGAAAGAACCAAACTCCTGGATATTTTCTTACAGAGGACTTCTCAGTCCTGGAGGGGCCTTGAACTCACAATGATCCTGGAGTGGGGAGTTGATAGTAGTCGTCTTGTTCTCTTTGTCTCCATCACCTGGGTTCTAGCTAGTCCTGAAAGAAGCTACAAGTCTCCTGCAGTTGCCTGAGCTGAGCTTGTGTGGGGCAGATGAACCCTGCCCTGGGGGAAGGGAGGAGGGGTCAGGAGATGACACATGGAAGAAACTTGGTTTTTTGTGTACCTAGAGTTCCCACCTCCTGACCTTGTCCCTCTTGTTTGTGTGTTCGTTTTTTTGAGACAGGGTCTCCGCTGTGTAGCTCAGGCTGGCCTTTAACTCACCATGTGGCCCAGACTGGCCTCAGACTCTTGCAAATCCTCCTGCCTCAGCCTCCCGAGTGCTGGGATTACAGGGGTGCACTCATGCCTGGCAAGAGTTCTGTCTTCAATGATTAGAAACTGCCACTCCTTGGAAAGTGAGTTGGTGTGGAGACCTAGAAATTCACGCTTCTTTCCGTGAATTTCCTTTTTTTTTTTTTCTTCCCAATACAGGGAATTGAACTCACAGCCTTGTGTTTGCCAGGCCAGCGCTGTGCCCCTGAACTATACCCCAGCCCTCACACTTCTTTAGGAATAGGCTAAAGAAGGCACACGTGAAGTATCCAGCCTACAATCGTGTACATAACTGCTTGTGGGCTGGAGGCTCTAGGCCCGTCAGGGAAGCTCTGGGCAGACGCTGCCCTTGCAGGCTGCCTGGACTCTGGAGGGCAGCGACGTGGCGCTCGGTGTTGATGTGAGGTGTGCGGGCTGTGCTCTCTTCCAGCCAGCGTCCCGTGCTCCGTGGCCTCAGAAAAGTCAGCGTGTAGGCCTCAGCCGCCCCAGGTCCGGCGCACGTTCTCCCTGGACACCATCCTCAGCTCCTACCTTCTGGGCCAGTGGCCACGAGAAGCCGATGGGGCCTTCACCTGCTGTACCAATGACAAAGCCACCCAGGTAACGCGATCTCTGCCGACGGGGTCAGGACGGGGAGATGGATTGGCTGGAGGCCAGTACCTGAGCTGCTGCTCCTGCCTGGGGCGTGCGTGGCAGCCTCTCGTCTCCTGCTGTTCAGCAGCTCTCATCTTTGCAACCTTACGGGTCTCACTGAGAGCTTGTTTCCTACCTGTCTGGTGGAAGAATGGGGTCAAATTGGGTATTTACTTGGCTTTTTGTTGTTGTTCTTTCTGGATGGTTTTTTTTTTTTTTTTTCGAAACAGGATCTCACTATGCAGTTCAGGCTGGCCTTGAGCTCACCTTGTAGCCCAGGCTGATCTTGAACTTGCAGCGATCCTCATGCCTCAGCCTCCCAAGTGCTGGGATTACAAGCGTGCACCACCACATTATACCTGGCTCATTTTGGATTTTTTTGAGATGAGTCTCAATATGTAGTTCAGGCTGGGCTTGGCTTCATGGTGATCTTGGCTTAGCCTCCTGAGCGCTGTGATTACAAGCCTGCACCGCCATGCCTGGCACTTAGGTTGGCTTTTAGTACCCACATGGGGGTAATCAACAGTGGATTGATTAACCTGGGGTCTAGCCTGTAGAGGATGAGATTTTCCTTGGCTTCCACTGTACCCACTTGAATCCCCTGGAACCCAGGTTCCTCTAGCGCAGTCTTCTCATTAGGAACTGAACACTCGGTCCACTTGGCGGTTTTGGATAGGATAGTGTTAATCTGAGCAAGAGATCCCAAGTGAAGTTTTGCAAAGCTATTTCTTAATCGGATTCAGGACTTCAACATTCTTAGCAGTTAAGTTGGTAAGAGTCAGGCCAGGTGGAAATGGGGAGGAAAGAGCCTGAGGCTCCGAGTCAGCCTGCTGCGCTGCCCGGGGTGAGGCGGGCCGGCCACTGCTTCTCTGCACAGGGTGGGGTGTGCCTGCTCTGCCCATCTGTAGGGTGCATAGTGGCCAGGTGACAAGTGCCCCATGTGGGTCACCCTGCCTCCCCTTCTGAGCACATCCCTCTGCTTCCTTTATTTTTTGTGACATCCATTTTCAAATGTTGTTAATGACTGTGTGAGTGCACAGCCCTGTTCTTGGCACACTAGGATGCAGGCTAAGGAAGTGCAGATGAGTTTTGGCCTCTCTGAGCCTGGATTCCAGTTCTGTGAAGGCCAGGGAGGGAACAGACGGCCAGGGGATGAGATGGGGCCAGATGTCTGGCAGAGTTTACAGGAAGAGAATCCTCTTGGGAACACTCCACCTTGAACCAAGACATTGTAAAACAAGTTTAAATAACAAATTAAAAACCAGTGGCCTTCTGCTGGGCATGGTGGTGTATGTCTGTGATCCCCACTGTCTGGAGGCTGAGGCAGGAGGATCCCTATGAGTTTGAGGCCAGCCTGGGCTACACAATGGGTTCAAAGCCAGCCTAGACTATATAGCAAAACCCTGTCTCCAAACAAAAATATCAGTGGTCTTCTTTATAGATCTATGAATAAAAAGAGAAAGGGGAACACGCTCCAGCTAGCAGATGAAGTGGACCTTCCTAGATACTTAGGCTCTACCATTTGTTCTGTGTTAAGGCCAGGTAGAATAGGCCTGGTTCTCTCTGGAGGCAAGTGCTCAGGCCAAATGACATCGAATCACAGAGGGCTTCCTGGAAGAGCAGGCCTGAGGTGGCTTTGAACACACAAGCTCATGCCCTTTGTCACGATGGTAGCCGCCTGTCTGTGCCTCTGTCACTTCCTCCTGCCAGCCTCCAGGAAGCTGCTGTCCTCCTCCTCAGAGCTTTCTGTCCCCCGAGTGCAGGTTGGCCTCTGGTAGTCCCTGGCTGGGTGAGAACCTGGGCGCTACGCTGTGTTTTTGCCCAGGCTCCAGCTGCAGGCCAGATCTGTTACGTAACGAGTCTGGGCTTCTTGCCACAGCAAGACAGAGGTCAGCGATGCGCCTCCATGGGTCTGGCAAGGCCCCGCCACGCAGCTTTCGCCCCGAGGATGGGCTCCAGCCCTCGAGGAACTCTTAGCAACCTGTCAATATTGTGGCTGCAGCAGGAGGTGGGAGAATTCTCGGCGGCGTAAGCTTCCAAACCAAAGTGTGCCCTCAGCCTGTCTTTCATTCCTGGCTTCGGGAAACTTTCTGCTTCTAGGTTTTGGGTCCCATTCACATTCCTGGCCTGGCACAGTCTGCCTCCATCAACACTGGTGTGGCTCTGTGAAGGCTGGGACATGCGGACCATTGCCCTGTCTCCCCCAGAGAGGATGGAGACCGGAAGCTTTTACCAGGGGGGTACAGGGAACGTGGACCAGGGGAGAGAGATGGGAGGGAGGCAGGGCTTTTCGAAGTCCTTGAAAGGTGGTTTATGGGGGTGTAAGGATGGAACCCAGGGCTCTCTGCAAATGCCGGACAAATGCCCGGCTGCTGAGCTAAGCCCTAGACCATAGAAAACTTTTAAACTGTTAAAAAATGAATGAATTCCAGATCTTTCTGCAATTGGTTTGAATGAAAGTGGGCTATCCCCCACCACTGACCCTTTCTCTCTACACCAAGGCCATAGTTTATTACTTGCCTCGCCCACCGTGACTGGCCCTCCCACCCCCAAGCTGGAGTGGGCAGACAGCAGGCATGTCTGGAGACCACTTTAGCCCGGGCATTCCTGGAGGGCAGGCAGGCAGGCCCTGCAGCCAGGCCAGCAGCTGTGGCCATGGTGATTCAGAACAACCCTTCCTCTGAACTGCTTAGAGGAAGCAAGGGCACTGCCCACTGTGAGCGAGTATCAGACCGAGGCAGCAAACACAGAACACCTGCCGGTGTGTAGACTTTCCGCGCGCGCGTGCGCGTGTGTATGTGTGTTCATGTTCATGAAGCTGCTTCAGAAGGCAGGAGAAACTTCACAGTTCTCAGCTCATGAGTCAGTGCTATCCCAGCTTTGCCAATAATTCCAGAATTCCCTTCCTGGCCTTATTTCTATTGATTGATTGATTGGTTTACTCACTTTTTTTTTTTTTTTAAACCAGGGATCGAACTTAGGACCTTGCGCTTGCCAGGCAGGCATTTATGCTGCTGAGCTGTATCCCTGGCCCCTGGTTTACTCACTTTCTGAGACAGGGTCTAGCTGTGCAGTTCAGGCTGGCCTTGAACTTGTGGCAGTCCATCTGCCTCAGCCTCCTGAGTGCTGGGATTCCAGGCATGTGTCACCACACCAGGCTTCCTGGCTGTGCTTTAAGCTCTTAGGCAGGCACAGAGGATAGTCCTCAGGTAGTTCACAGTCCAACATGGGGAGCTGGGTTACCACATATCTGGGGCAAGGGGAGCAGAAGGGGTATATGTGGGTCTCATTTGGGAAGTTGGTCCTTCTAGGAAGGAGGTGTACTGTGGAGCTCCTGTGCATTGAGTGGGGAGGAGCAATGAGAGAGATGACAGGGCCCCAAGATCAGCCTAGCGAGCTCAGGGAAGGGTTTGGGCCCAGCAGGAGCTGGACGTGGAGTAGCAGGTAGAAACACTAGGAAGTCTCCATCTGTAGCATAACTATCAGCGCCACCTGTGGGGCTCCTTTATACGGTGGCGGGGTGTTCAGGATTCCCAGGGTTTATCTGCACGTGTTGCCCTCTCTAGCCCATGCATCTCCGAGTCGGAATCGGCCACCACGTCCTTCGGCCCAGCTGCTCCTGGAGGCCGAGCTGGGGGTGGTGGCGCGTGCTGGAGCTCTCTGCTCACTTGCTTTGCAAAGCATCTGCGTCTCCTCGGGCTCTGCAGGAGGGAGGAAGTGGTCTCGCCACAGCTGGGGTGACTGAGCAAAGTTCCCCTCTGCTGTCCTCCTGCCCACACATGGGCCCCTGGGTGCCAGCCCCTGCCCCTCTTCTCCCCCTGCAGTCTCCAGCTCTGAGAATATGTGAACCCTTTGGGAAGAAGAAGCCTGAGCTCTTGACAGACCTTGGGCTCCCGACTCTGAAAACCAGAGGCAGAGATAGGCGTGCTGGGGGGTGTTGTCCCCTCCCCACGTGCCATCTTTTCTCTCCTTCCCCAAGCCAGTGCCTCAGCTTTCAGCCACAGCAAGTAATTCAGTATGGCCATCACAGACCTTTACAAAATGTTTTTCTTTGTGGGTTTGGGGGCCTGAGCACCAAGCCTGGTTGTTCTGTCTATGGTTTAACAATGGAAGCAAATATTTGAAACTGGGGCCATGAAGGAAATTCTGAGGTCCCCTGGTCAGCATAGGGCCAGAGATGGTGGCCTTAGCCTCCTGAAGCTGGAGGCCTCAGTGTTGGCCAGTGACCACCCCAGACCTTTCCCTGCCATTTTGGTTTAGGCAGAGTCGGAAGGGCTGAGTCCCTGCTGAGCCAGCTCATCCTGCGGTCCCCACCCAGGCGCCATGCCGGCCCCTCTACAGGTGCCGTGTCCCAGAGCCAGGCCTGTGTGTGTGTGTGTGTGTGTGTGGAGCTTGCGTAGGGTCAAGCAGGCTGAGGGTGAGAGCGTGGCCAGTGCTCTTCCTGCCTCTGCTCACGGCTCTGGCTAGAAGCGTAGCTGGGCTGGAGGCTGAGGAACATGTTCTGCTCTCCGTAGCTCCATCCTTTCGCTGCTCCTCACACAGCAGGTGACCCTTTGGGAAGCTGTCCTTCGCCCCATGCCCGGTGATCCGTCACAAGTTGCTCTGGGACCTCAGAATCCCGGGCCTCAGTGTAGCCATGTTCAGCGTTGTGCCATCCGAGCATCAGCGTACAGCTGGGTGCTGCCCCTGGAGGGCAGGAAGCGGCCGCTGCTGCCTCGGCTGCTGCCCCAGGCCCAGGGTGTGACCTCGTGTGTCAGGGTATGAGGGTGCCCTTGACAAAGGGACTCTTGAGTCGTCCTGCGCGAGCTCTGCTCTGCTTCCCAGGGGTCGTCTTGAATGACTGCTGCAGCACTGCCCTGCTGTCAGGCATTGCCCTTGCCCTGGCCACCTCTTTAAGGGTGGGCTTCCCTTCACTGTGACTTTTCATTCCCTGAAGAGATCTAGACCTCAACTTTTGTGTTTAGGAGGGTCTTATCCTACTGGGGCACTGGAAATCAGGGGGCATAGTGCCCACTAGATGTGCCTGGCCCAGTGGAAGTGAGTAAAGGGCACACCTGCTTTAGGGACACTTGATGGGTGGCACATGGGAACAGCTTTAAATATAGGACATCCTGCCAGATCAGGATTCGGAGATTGCACTAGCGAGTCCCCTCCGACTGGGTCGCTTAAACAGCAGATGGTTATTCTCTCGCAGCTCAGGAGACCAGCAGGCCCAGTTCAGCCTCAGCGGGCTGGAAGGTCAAGGTGCTGGCCAGGTCACGTGTTCCCAGCATGCTCTAGGGAGAGTCTGTTCCCTGCCTCTTCCAGCTTCCAGGGCCGCCTGCCCTCCCTGGCTCATGGCCCACACAGTCGCTCCAGTCTCAGCCTCCCTGGTCATCTCCCCTCATCCTCTTCTGTGTCTGTGTGACCCCTCTGCCCCTGTCTTATAAGGACACTTAGAATGGCAGATGTCCTTTAGGGCCCACCCAGATAATCCCAGAGCTATCCTCCCATCTCAAGATCCTTAGCTAAGTCGTATTTGCAAACACTTTGCCATATAAGGTAACGTTTATGGGCTTTTGATCTCTTTGGAGGCTATCCCCTCCCTCACTTGTTTATTCAGGGGAATTCAACAGATGGTTGAAGGATTAGGAAAAAAATAATGATCTTATATGCTCACTCTACAGTATACCAGTTTGCTTAGTTTTGCTTATAATCTTTCGATTTTTTTCCTGTGGGTATGTGTCATTTTATAATTAGGAGAACCAATATTATTGTCAGTATGGATTGGGAGGCATCAGAAATTGCTTGTAAAATCCTGAAAAAGCACAGAATAGAAAAGAAAAATCACGACCGCTGTATGGACCATTTTCAACCTGTCACATCTGATGACCTACTTGGCCTCCACTTCATCCTCCTGTCACCTTGGGGTGCTCACACACCAGCCTGCCCCAACAGCTGGAGGGAGCTTGCTGCTGTCTTCTATCAGATGTCCCCGGGCCCCCCTCCCTCACCCTTCTGATTCTGTTTACGTGGTCCCCATTCATCAGAGACGTCCCAGGCCGTGGGAACTGTGTCCCCTGCCCAGGACTCTCTCTGCTGCTTTTTTGTCTCACACACATCACGGTTTCGCCTGTGGCGCCACGTACAGTGTGAACTCGAGGGGCCGGGGATTTCCATGGTTTCGTGTATTCTTGGTTATCCCACATCTGCAGTGGGCCTGGCACACTGGTAACTGTTTATTACCTGCAGCGGTGACACACAGCCCAAGCCCATCTGTCCAGAGGGGACTTGGAGCCGAGGAGCACTCAGTCTGAGGAGACAAGTTAGGATGGCTTGCTGAGGACAAGATGGGGATGAAGGATGGGCATGGGGGTGGCCCTAGGATAGGTCATCCTACGGGAAAGACCAGGCCTAGAGGATGGAGTCCAAAAAGGAGGTGGGATACGTTTGCCTGGGCACAGCAGGCAGCCGCTGAGATGTGGGGATGCTGATGCCCAGGGCCTGCGGTGGGTGCCAAGACCAAGTGAGGGCCCAAGTTGTGCTCTACTGAGTGGGCAGTGTAGCTGCTGAGTGGAAAGAAGAGGTGACTGCCCTGGCCGAGGGCACGGTCCCAGCCGCCTCGCCTCTACACCTTTTCTGAATTCCTGTGCAAGCCTACATGTGTCCTCCCCATTGCACGTCCCAGAACACAGAAGGGATGTTAGTGGCCCGTAGCACTCTTGAGTGTGGCTGTTTTTCTCCCTTGCCACCTTCTAGGGCAGCATCTTCCCAGGGGGCAGGAAAGGCATGACCACCTTCACAGCGGTCCTCTCTGTTCCTTTTCTGGGGATGAGGGGCTTGTGCGGGACCCAAGGGTTTGACTACAGAGCTAGTGATCTGCAGGTGTGGCTGGTGTCCTGGAAAGTGAGGGTGCCCTTGTCCCCAGGGTCCAGGTGGCAGCTGGAGAGCTGGGCTTCTTCCTCCCTCAGCTGCACATTCAGCCGCCTTTGCTGAGGCTCTGGCCCCCTCAGGCATCCCGAGGCCCAGGGCACATGCCCACCCTAGCACAGGGATGGGGCTGCAGCAACGAGCAGGAACATAGGCCAGGGCCCTCACACGTTAGCTTTGTCACAAAGCCCTGCTCCGTGCACAGCTGGGAGCAGCAAGGGCCAGCAGCTCGATCCCCAGCGGTCCCTGTGGTGCAGCTGTTGTGGCACATAGCCGGCCACTGTCACAGTGCGCCTCGCCTCGCACTGCCCTGCCAAACTCCTCTTGCAGCTGCTGTTGGTAGGCGTAGTCGTGTCCCCTCCCCCACCCTTCTCTATCTGCAGCACCCTCTGGGGGAGGTCAGCAGATCTCTTGCAGGAGCCAGTTCCCAGGCCCTTGGGGTGTTGGCAGCCTGTGCACAGAAGTTAGAGGGGAAATGGTCCCCTGGGGTGCTTCTTAGCCCTCCCCTGGAGCAGAGGCAGGGATGTTCATGCAGGGTGGAATCTGGGCCCCTTTGACCTCATGCCTGGAGCCAGCTCCCTCAGAGGGGTCTTGGGAAGTGGTTCCGCAATGCCCCTCTCGCCATCTTGGCCCATGCCTTTGTGCATCAGGAGGAAGAGGAGGATGGCGGGATGAGAGCCCTTCCCGGGGAGGGACACGGCACAGCAGGCCAGGCCCGGGGCCAGTAAAGCCAAGCAGTGTCAGAAATCAGGGCTGGCTTCAGAATTCGGGCTCCCTCCTTTCTGAAATGTCTCTTTCCTGTACATTCAGGAGGACTTTGGGGTCCCTGTGCTCATTCTGCTTGCAGAAAGTGATCAGGCACAAGCTGGAAGTGCTGAGCAGCCAGGAGCCTTCGTTTCACTGGGAGATGCGTGGAGGGGGGACTCCGTTGACCTTTTTCCTGTTTTACCAAGTAAAATTCCCCAGGAGTCATGTCTGGTAGCTTGTTTTCCTTCGGCTCCCTGGACCCGGGCCTGTGCAAGGCACAGAGCATAAGGAATGCAACGGTTGTTGAGCCCGTGCTCTTCTGGAGCTGCTCAGGCAGGGAGGCGGTGCTGTCCACATCATCTGGAGCACTTGGGGGGCAGGCACAGTGGGGGCGCTAAGCTGACATGTTGGTCGGCACAGAGGAAGAGGGGTTGACCCATCGGGCCACCATGAGGTCATAAACCACCAGCGGCCATGCAGGTGGCTCTGCCTGGAAGGAAAAGCAGGCTGGGCATGATCAGGAGGAGGCTGAGCAGATGCAGGAAGGAAGCCATGTGTTTTCTGGGCCCGCCCACAAGAGCTGTCACTGAGCTTTGGCTTTTTTTGAAGGGAGTGGTTGGTAGTGGTTAAAAGACAGGGTCTCCCTAAGTAGCAGAGGCTGGTCTTGAGCTCACTGTATTGAGCTCAGGTTGGCCTCGAACTCCTGGCACTTCTGCCTCATCCTCCTGAGGGCTGGAATTACAGATGTACATCACCACACCTGGCTAATGTCACTGTTTTCACCCTGCAGACACCCTTGTCCTGGCAAGAGCCGGAAGGTGAGCGGGCCACCTCCTGCACACACAAGCGCTCGGCGTCCTGGGGCAGCACAGACCACCGGAAAGAGGTACCTGCCTTCATGGACTGCATGGCGGCGTGGCTGCCTGCTCTCCACCCTGCCCATGCCAGGCCTCTACTCTAGAGGGTGACCGCATCTGCAGCCCCTGTGCCTTCCCAGCCCCTTCCCTGGGCCTGGCTGCTCTTTGGAGCCCTGAGCCCCCCGAGAGGAATGGCCGGGGCACAGCCAGGCACAATGAGTCCCTGAGGCTTAAGAGCCCCGGCCTCGCTGACTACTTAATAAGAGGGTTTAGGGGCGGGGGAGATGGCTCAGTGGAATTAAGCGCTTCCCTGGCAAATGCAAGGGCCTGAGTTCAATCCCAAGTTCTGCCAAAAAAAAAAAAAAAAGGGTCACTGCCAGGACCCACCCCAAGCACACCCCAGAAGGAAAATGCTCCTGTCCTCATTGCTGAGAACAGAAAGAAAATATGAAGTAGTTATATGCAAATTTAAGAGGAAATTTTACTTAAAGTCTTCCATGATCAGAGGGGCAGATTATTCACACTCAGGTTAGGGTTCATGGCACAAATCATGGCAACAAACAGTCAATGAAAAGCACTTTCTAAGCCAGGTGTAGTGGCGTAAACCTGTAAGCCCAACACCAGGAGGCTGAGGCAGGACGACGCTGCCAGTTTAAGGCCCACCTAGCTACACACTGAATTCAAGGCCAGACTGAACTATCCTTGTCTCAAAAAGCAAAACAAAAAGGCAGGCATAGTGGCACACACCAGTAATCCCAGCATTTGGGAGGCTGAGGCAGCAGGAGCGCCATGAGTTCGAGGCCATTCTGGGCTACAGAGCAAGTTCAAGGCCAGTTTGAACTACTTAGATTCTGTTGCAAAAAGAGAAAAACGAAACAGAGACAAGCACATTCTACAGGGCTGTGCCCAGAAGTCGTCTGGCTACAGGCTGCAGATCTACTCCCGGAAACCCGTGTAAGCTCTGCTTTGTGTAGCTCTTCCCACGAGCATTGGGTAGGCAGGGCATTGGGAACTGTCACCAGGCATGGGTGTCTACACAGCATGGTCGTCCTTCTAGAGAGCTGATGCAAGGGCCGGGGACATAGCCTGGCGGCATAAGCGCCTGCCTGGCAAGTTCAATCCCTGGTTACCCTCCTCCCCCAAAAAGAACGTAATCATTGTGCAGTGGAAGTATGTACTGATAGAGAGCTGATGCTGACGTAACACGGTCCGCTTTAAGGTGTGGGGGGGAATAAATAAAGTGGGGGGCATGACACATGTCCACTCTTCGTGGTCTCAGCCTCCAGGGTGGTTGGCTGGGTTCTTCAAAGCCTAACTGCAGGGGGCGTTCAGGAGCACCATGAGCCTCTGCTCTGGGAAGGTAGGTATCCACACCTTTGCTGTCTATGAAAGAAAAAATGGTCCCAGAGTTGCCTAGTTTGAGTTCCCTGGAGCCCAATCTGCCTATGGAATACAGAGCAATTCCAAAAATGCGATCGGTGCCATAGGTTGTTCAGGCATCCAGTGTATCTAATGAACCCATCTCCCGGGTTTTAAGGACTGCTGAGCCATGTTCAGATGGAACATTAAATTCCATGTCCCTGTTGTGTCCCCTGGGGGCCTGTGGCAGGGCCACACCTGGGAGGAGGGACCCAGCAAGCACCTCCAGTATTGCGTCACGCACCCCTCCTGTCCTTCTGTCTGGCTGCCAGGTCACCAAGTTGAAGCAGCAGCTGCAGCGGACAAAGCTGAGCCGCAGCGGGAAAGAGAAAGAGAGGGGCTCCCCACTTCAAGGGGACCACGCGTTGCGGGGGGCACTGAGGGTAAGTTTTGTACACCCTCGGCTCCCCTCGGTCTCCACAGCAGCTGCAGAATTCTCTCGAGCCTGGCAGCTCTGAGCCCCACCGCGGAGCATGCTGTGCTGGCCCTGTGGCGTCTGGGTGCTGTCGGAAGGGCTCCTAGCTGTGGTGCGTGTCCGTCCATCTCCTCCACCCCAGCCCTGAGTGTCTGAGACAGTGATTGAAGAGCAGTGCGGGCCGTCTTGGAGCTCCAGAGTGTGGGGGAGACCCGCTGAGCGGAACAGGCCGTTGCAATCTGTGACCGCTCAAGTGCCCTTTCCTCACTTGGTCCTGCTGTGGGGGGGGGATGTGGCTGCTGTCCGCGGTGAGGATGGGTAACGGATGCGTAACGGCAGAGCCTGGGGGGCTCCAGGTGATGGCCTCACCCGACCCTTCCTCAGGCGTCCCCTCCTAGCTTCCCCATGGGGTCCCCATTCCTGCGACTCAGCCCCTGCCTGCACAGGAGCCTGGAGGGGCTCAACCAAGAGCTGGAGGAGGTGTTCGTGAAGGAGCAGGGAGAAGAGGAGCTGCTGCGGGTGAGTGGCGGCTGTGGCGG